CCTTAGAACTAAGTATGCCATCTGGGATCTAGCAGGTGCTTAACAAATATATGTAGAGCTAATTCACTTATTTCATCTTCACAGCTGCACATGTTAATAAATGAGGATGCCAAGGTCTCAAAAGTTTATGTGGTCTCAAAAGGTTGTATGGCCAGTGAAAGGCAGGTGTTCACGTTCAGTGTAGGACTCTTGTGTCAATTTTGCACTCACCAGCCAGTCTTTTCTTATCAAAAGAATCAATTATGTTCAGATCAACCTTCTAGGGGTTAATTGAATCTTTGTCACTGATTGGATGCAGCTCATGTCTGCCTTGAGATTTTTTTTCCAGCTTTCTCTATGCCTATGAATATTTCACCACTACTTGAGTTCTCTCAGCCTTATACCTCATCTTCCTTGTCTTTGGTTTGATGTACCAGTCTCTGATCTCTACTTAGAGGTTTTTCCCTGCTTTTCCTTTATCTGTTTTTTTTTCTTGGTGACAGATTCCAATCATGTGACTAATATTGCACCCTCTTTATGTTCCTCAGCCTTTCTGTAGGAAGTTGCCAATAGCTTTAACTTTACTTCTTGCTTGAAAGTCCATGTTCAGCAACTGTCTAGAACACCCATCTCCTCATCTAAGCCCTCAGACTTGACATGTCCAGTCAGAAGCCACTTTGGAGTATTGAGCACTAAAATTTCTTAGATACTTAAAGATGTGTTAAGAATTCTTAACTTCCTTTACATACACAGCCAAAAACCCATCTATGAGCTGCTGATGTTATAAATATTGATTTCAGAAGTGAATTCTGAGGCTCTGTTTATATTATTTAACAACAACTATGCATTGTCAAAAGATAATTTAGTTCTCTCTCTTAGTCCCAGATGGTTACTTGCAGTTGTTTGTAAAATTCTCTGTGCATGCTCATAGGTGCTTTTCTTCATCATGTGTAAACTGATTTTTTTTATTTAGCATGTTGTCCAAACTACATTTTTTTAAACTTTTTTGTTAATAATCTTCAACTTTTTCTTTTAAGTCATATTAATGCTACAAAGCCCTAGTAGTTATTTCAAAGCATGGGAAATGCTTAAAATATCTCCCCAATCCACCTCTGCTCCACCATTGAGTTGTCCTCATACATCATTACCACTCCCACTCTTAAGATAGTGTCACTTCCTGTCTCTCAGCTCTATTAGCCATCTTGTATACCACAGCTACAGTGCTACATTTATGACGTCATGATGCCTGTTACTGCCCACTTATTAACACCAAACTCTTCTACCTGATAATTGAAGATTCGAGTGACGTGGCTTTTTTTAATTGCATGTTTACTCTGCCCTGGATTTGCCCCTTTCTAGCTGCTTCCCCTCTCATCTATCAGCCACTTACTTAGATGCTGTTTCTTCTGTTAAACCTTCCTGAACTAATCAATCATTTCATCCTCTGAGTTTCATAGCATCCATTGTAGTATAAAAGTTGTGCTGTGTATCTGTCTATTGTAGTTTCCTATTCTTGAGTTCAAGATTAGGAAGTTCAAATATAATCATCCATTTATTCCACAAATGCAGTATAATATCCAGCATAGAGTAGAAATTTAATAGATATTTTTTGAAGAAGTAAATGGGCAAGTAAAATAATGGCTATGTGGTTTTCTGGAACAATTCTGCAGTTACCTATTTTTTATTTTTATGAAATGTCTTTGCAAATTTCTCAAGTTCATATCATACACACACACACACACACACAATAGTGGGAAAATGACATTTTATATTACTGTAACAGTTGAAGACACACATGTAACAATACCGAGTAATATCTACATTAAGACTGTGGAATTTGTGGTTGCTGTTAACACTGAACTTCTTTTTAAAAGATTTTAAAGTGCCCCATCTTCCTTTATGTGCTACCTTTTAAAAGTGGTAGATTACAAATCATACTAGCCTTAAATATGTGAATAAAATAAAAATCAGGTGTTACGTATTCACTGAGTATACTGTACAGACACCTCACAACACATACATGCACACACATTGTAAATTAAATATTTAAAAGTCAGGTTCTTTTCTACCTCTTTAAAGAAAGTCCCCAAAGATAAGTCAATTATTGTATAACTTTCCCAAAAATCACTTTGGCAACTTTAATCTATAAAATAAAACTAGTATTTCGTTCACTGTGGCGGCCAACTATTTTATTTTATCACTTATCTAATTTTATACAAATGGCTTCTTTTACTTCAGTTTTTAACATTCATAGCTCCAGATAAATGGTAGGAAATTAACTAATACTAGATAAGATGGCTGTTGTTACTGTAGGGGCTGTTGGTCTTGATAATAATATAGGCTTTAGCCAGATAGTTTCTTACTTTGTAGTGATGCAGGTGTTTATTGAAAAGTAAAATACAGTGCCCTTTCTCGTGTGAGCTGTTTGTAGTACTGTCAAATTGAATTTGCCTCTGGCTAGAATTTTTTTCTTTTTCTTTTTTTTTTCTCATCGATATAATGTATTCTGTCTTCTGTGTGCTGTATGTGTTCCCTCACCAGGCACACAGGCCCCAATCTATTTTGAACACAGGTCTCTTTTTGCATTTTTAATATCATTTTTTCAATGACGTAGAAGATAAATCATTTACCAATGACTTACCCATACTGAAGTTAAATAATTGTAATTGAAATTATATTAACTAGACAAAGATTTAGTTTTGCTTCCCTCCAGAAGCACCAAGTAATGTATCATATATAATTGATACATACTCCCTTTAACATTAATATTTCTTCTTTTATATTGAGTTTAGATTTCAGTTTTAAAATCTGTTTGTGACACTTAACCCTCACAGCTCTCAAACAAGGATTATTCATTAAATTTTAGTGTTCATCAATATGCATTTATTGTTGCTAAAGATTAAAAATTATGATTCAAATAAGCATTTTAAATGTTTGTCACAATCACCTTTTGAAGAATCTGTTGCTACTTTGTCTTCTGAATGACATCATACCTTTAACTGAAATTTTTGAAATATCAAAGCATTCATTAGACAAGCTAAAATAGAAATATTCATTTTATAATTTTTACTTCTTGTCTAATATCATTAATTTTAACATGCATTTTAAATTAGAATGAATGAAAATCTTAGCTGCTTAATCACAAAATGTATATGTTTATTTTGGATCTGCCCAATGATTTCTTTGCCTTGGTCATTTCTTTAAGGTATTATTATTGCTTTTAATGGACCACCCTCTGTCCCAACATTAAAATCAACAGGTTCAATGGTATGTCTTTATTGTAAAGTGGAAATTAATTTTAGAGAAAATATGCAATTGACTTGTGTTGCATTTATCACGTAGTTCAGGAGGAATTTGAACTCTCTAACTATGGTCTTACAGGGTCAGGATCAGCCTTCCGGGACTCAGAGCTAGGTTGCTGTAATCTTTACTGTGTAATGTTCTTTGATGGGTAACAGACAATCATTGTGGAAGTCTTAGAAGATAAGATAACTAGAGACACTAGATATATAAACTATAGACAATTTTTTTTTTTTTTCAAGACAGGGTTTCTCTGTGAAGCTTTGCGCCTTTCCTGGAACTCACTTGGTAGCCCAGGCTGGTCTCAAACTCACAGAGATCCGCCTGTCTCTGCCTCCTGAGTGCTGGGATTAAAGGCGGGTGCCACCACCGCCTGGCAACTATAGACAATTTAAACACCATTAGATAAATGGCATTATAGATGTAGTTAATTAATTAATTAAATTACTGATTCAATGGACTAAATCACTGATCAGGTGAAGAGGAACAGATCCATTTTTTCAAAAATAGATCCAAACAAACATACACACATACACACACACATATATGCTCAGTTAACTTTTCTTTCTAAGGCATATTCCTTCTTTGTTTCCACTTCTTTAAGTCTGGGGATTGGTGTACTCTCAGCTGGAAATTACAACTCAATCCAAAATTACACAGTGTTTATCTGATTTCTCAAAATGAACAGACTGTCGGACCGAGTTCAGAATTAGGGAGAGCAATTTAAGCATTGGAGTCTTTAATCTCAGTAATGATACTCCTCAGTTCTTAGCTATCCAGGGGGTTGTTTAGGCTTCTTATCTTTTGCGACTTACTTTTCCTTCCCTCCCTCCCTCCATCAATGAAGACAGGTGGCCAGGAGGACGAATAGCCACCAGCGGTTTTTTTTCTGTTGTTGTTGTTTTTTTTTTTTTTTTTTTTTTTTTTTGTTAACAGAATCCAAGCTGTTTCTTTAAAGTAGACTTTCTTAAAACAAAAACAACCAAAAGTACTGTTCTTTACAGTTCACTTTTTAAAGCAAGTGGTCTGCTTTTATTAGAGAAATACCGCCTGTGGTGAATAGAAGGTTCATGATTCTGGTTGTTTTCAGTACTTTGCGGTGATGGATTATTAAGACTGGGTGATCTCTGCATTATGGCCTTTAATCTAAATTTGTATGTACATCTACATGCATTGTAGTAGGATGAAAACAATGATTTTTACTATGTGTTTTAATCTCCCAGTTTTATTTTTTTGGAAAAGAATGTGTGTTGTGGGATGGAGGAGCAGGGAAACAGAGGTTCACCTGCTCTAATGTGACTAGGTATAGTGGTTTAAATAGATAATATTCTTGCACTGACCTGACATGTAAACGTTATTTGAGACTGGAATTGTTGTCTACACATTGTAGACGACCCAAACAAACCTGTATCTTATCATTGTCATATGTGTCCACTCTTCAGACTTGCTTTGTGCACTGATAAAACAGTTGGCTGTTCTTATTACTTAGGGCTTATAGTAGCCTATTGATTTTGTTTCATGTTATGTTTAAATCAACTGTCTTTATTTTATACTATCCTAAGGGGCTGTTTTATTTACTGAGTTTCCTTTAGATCTGAGTCTCCCCACGTAAGACAGATGAGCACCATCAGTTAAGTGACACCCATGCTGTTGATGTTGTTTGGCAGATTCTGCCATAACCATGAATCACCTCTAATATTATCCCATCTACTGTGTTACAGGAAAAGCAGAGATTTCTGACAGATGTTCTGCATGAAGTGATGCTGCTTGACGGGTTGGCCAGTTCCCATCCGGTATCACAGGAAGTGATACGGGCAACAGATATTGACAGGGTGTTTGACTGGATCGCATACAAAAAGGTGGGATAGAAAAGAGGCACTTGCCAACAAGATATTTCACTATTGGGATAGACAGCCTATTTCATACTAGAAGTTTTATATTTTTATATTCTTTCTAGCAAATGAAAATTGATTGTAAGTAGGAAAGGTATTACAATGTTCATGTCATTCCCGTGAACAGGACTTTGCTTTATAAATGAATAAAATGGAAATGAATGTTTGCCAAACACTGCTTGGAAATATTCAAAGTATTGATGAATAAATGTTTGGGAACTTCTTTGAAATTGCTGTACAAATGGTGTTATGTAAATGTCAGATTTTAGTATTAAGAATGTTGACCTAACTAGTGACAAATTCTTTCTGCTAGTGCCCCTTAAATAATTGATTGGCTGTTGCAAATGGTTCTGTGTAGTAACAGAACACATACATTTAACAAATAATTTGTAAAGGAGTTTTGTGGGAACTGGGCATGCTTCCTGGATGATGTGGCAAAGCACATAAAAATTAGAAGCTTTTGAATAAGTCAGGAAAACTTTGAATCAGTGACTAGTTATAAAGTTTAGGTACATTTCAGTTTTTTTTTCACGGTTACAAGGATTAGGATTTATCCTTTATCTCTATCCATTGATTTAATTTTTACATGAGGATGTATGTCTTAGCCTTGACATAGAGTAGTCATTTAATAGTCACAATGTGGGTAAAGACTCCTCTAATTTTAGTATAAGTTGAATTATACTTATTGGGATTTCTATGTAGTTTTCATTGATGCAATAATGTCATGAGCTTTAAAAAATTACTAATGTTACCTTGTATATAAATATATTTGTTTGTGATAACTGGAGATAAAAATAATTTATCAGAAGTTCTTGGTACGCTGATAATGCTAATGTAGATACTTGGTTTGGTGCTCAGTAATGACTCTCTAAATGATTGCTAATTAGTAATGAAGGCAATAGTATATAGAGATGTTTTGTTAATAGAAAATGTCATTGCATTTGATCAAGTAGAGAGTTTCTGATATTTTTAGGAGTAATATCACTTAGGCTCATGATATATTTATCATGCTTATATTAATTTTGTATGTGATGGGTTTGGGCTATGTTTGGTTTGCTATATATTAAATTTATTTGATGATAGTAATGTTTTAGATATAATCTAGAAAATTCTTTATTAAGACAGTCCAAACTGATAGTAATATTTCTAGCTATTTTTCCCACTCTTGATTCTAAGAGGCTGTTTGTAAATACTAGTTTTACTTTAATATGATTAAAATCACGACAATATTATTTTGATCAAATGTAATATCAGTGTACCCTTATATGGAACACCTAATCCTTATTCCATAGAATTGCAGAGTGTCAAGATGATTAAAGAGGGCTAAAAATAGAAACAGCAGTAAATCTGAATAATATATGGCAATTTTCCTTCAACTCTGTTTACATTTTGGCAAAGAGGCATGCTAGTTTACTGAAATGAAAAATCAGCCACCTGTGGTGAGGTTCTTAGGCCACCATTGAGATAGTTTCTGATGAACGTTTTAAGAGCTGTATATTATTATGTTTCAAACATTAGTAAAAAGGTAGCCTTTGCTCTGATATTTGAAGTGCCATTGTTGTAGAACCCACTTGTTTAGAGGGTACAGTTTGATAGGTGCTAACAAATATAGGCAGTGAGAATATCATGGTAATCATGTACAGAATATATATATATATATATATATATATATATCAGTATAAGCGCTTCTCAAGCACATTTTAAATCCTGCCTTATCCATGCTGATCATCTTTATTATGAATTAGCTTGCATTTTGATAGTTTTATAGAAACAATATATATGTATATAGACACTTCAATTTTCCTTCTTTCATTCATTATATTTATCTCAAGATACATACACATTGACAATTTATAGGTATGTAAACAATTTGTTTATTTATATTGCTAGATATCTGAGTAGTTGCTGGGTTTGGCTATTGAAAATATTACTGCCCATGGCTCTCTGCACAACCTCAGACATCTTTACTAGCTGCAGAGTCTCCATGCCCCATCATGTAGACAAATTTCTAAACAGTCTTATTAAATAAGAAATACAGAGCCAAATACAGAGGTGCAAGCTGTAGAGACCAGAGCAATAGCCATCAACTAACCTTAGCTCACCACCTCTCCGTAGCTTCCCAAGAGAACGTCTTCCTGTCTAACCTGTGCCTTCATTGTCTTCCTGTTCTGCCTTCTCATTGGCTCTAAGCCCAGCCACATCAATTCCTCATCACTGCCTGTCTGTACAGACCTCCAGGTCTCTATGGTTGGTACTGGGCTTAAAGGCATCTGTCACCACGCTTGGCTGTGTCCTTGAACACACAGAGACTCTGCTTGCCATGTGATCGGATTAAGGGCATGTGCTACCACCATCTGACTTCTGTTTATGGCTATGACCTCTGACTTCCAGGCAAACTCTATTTATTAACGGACAAATAAAATATCACATTTCAGCACAAATAAAATATCACCACACCATCTACTTGCTGCATATGGAACTCAGGGTGGGTCCTTGTAAGTCTTGTAACTTTTTCAGTTTCCAGCATTTGGTAAATTGCGGGAGTTTCCCCAGTCTTATAAATTGCATCAGCTTTTCTCCACTCTACCAGAGAGAATGTTTCAGTGAAGAGGAAACATCTAGTCAACAAACTCAGTCTTTTCTTCCTTGAGTTGCCTTTGCACAGGGCTGAGAAACACTGAATCATACATGTGTGGATTGGTTTCTGGACTGCTTATTCTGGTGCACTCATAAATGTACTTATTTGGCTCCAGCACCACACAGTTGCTGTTGTTTCTACATAACTAAATCATGAAATAAGACCCTGTTGGTCCCCCAGATAGATTTCCTGTAATGTTCTTCAGTTCTTCATGGACTTTTGCATTTCCACAGAAACGAGTTTGTTAATTCCTACAAACCTTATACTGGAATTGTTAGGGTTGTGTTCTATTGATAAAACAATCTGGGGAATTGACATCTTAACAATACTGTTTGAACAGACAGAGTGTACTCCAACTCAATTCTGTCAGGACACTCAATTCTGTCAGGTCCTCGTCCTGTTTTCTCAGCTGAGTAGTTGATAGCAATCTTCCACACCATCTTACCATTTTATCCCTGAGTATTTCACATTGTGAGCTAGTGGACTTGTTGTTTTAAATTTCTCTTTCTGAGTCTTTGTTGCCTATATAGAATGAACTTTGTGGAACTGAAGGGGTTAAGAGCATTGGCTGTTTTTCCAGAGGACTGAGTTTGGATTCTTAGTACTCACATGGTGCCTCACCACTATCTGTAACTCTATTTCAAGGCCATCCGACACTCTTTTCTGTCCACTATGGGCATTGCATGCATGTGGGGTACAGACACACATGCATGAAAAACCCTCTCACATTATTTAAAAAAATCTTTTAAAGTTAGAATTAAGTTTGTTTTTAGAGACTTCAACAATAAAACAGCTGTCATTTCTTGTATATGAATGCTTTATTGGCTAATGGAATATAGCAGCTTCTATAAAATTGTATTTATTTGGCCTCTGAAATTTTCATACTTGGATACAATGTATCTTGATCATCTCCATTCATTGCCTGCCCCCTCCCCATCTTATAAGGAATCCCCATGATAGCTTCCTTCTAACATCATGCCCTCCCTATTTGTTTATTTATTTATGTGTACATTTTTAAATTCATTGAGTCCAATTTGTTTTTCCCATCTGTTCAAAGGCATGGTGTCATCCACTGTTGCACAGAAAACCTACCAGGGACCACATTCCTAAAGAAAAGTGAGTCTTCCTCCCCTGTTAGCTATTGGTTGCCAAGAGCTCTTCAGCTAGGAGGAGGGCCTTGAGATCCTTTTCCCAATCCATGTTGGAAGGTTTTGTTGGCTTGGCTTTGTGCGGACCTTGCTCAGGTGTGCACAGTTCACTAAGAGTCCATCTGTGTGACAACATGTGATGTCTAGAGGACAGCATTTCACAGCTCCCCTCCCCATTCTCTGGCTCTTATATTTTTTCTACCCCTTTACAATAGTCCCTGAGCCAGAGGATGATGTTTAAGGAGTGGGTATTGCTTTCCCTTCTATGGCTGAACATTAACTTTAGTGTGGGGGACCTGTCCCCACTTTACCCTGGGTACTCTTGAGGAGAGAGTGATGAGAAAATTTCAGATAGAATGATAGGCCTAGCCAACTTGAAGAAGAAAGACACACAGAATAGCTTGGGAGGACCTGGGTCAATAACCAACGGCCCATAACTTTATTCAAAAGGGCTTTTTATAACAATGCCCAGAGATGAGGCAAAAGACCTCCCCCCTGTTAGATATAGCCAAGTGCAGACCATTCCAAACACCTGGGAGCCATGCCCATGGTCAAATCATCCCCTTATGCAGCCCTGCTTGTCGCATGAATTGTTAGAAGGTCTTATTAATGAAAACAAACCCAGAGGCAGGTATTGGGGTGAACACTGAAAGATCAGAGAAACAGAACAAGCCACAGCTACCTCACCTCGCCAATTCCTCAGCCGATCTTGTTTCCTCAGACTGGAAGCCTTTGTGTCCTCATCTGAATGGATCTCAGCTGAACTGCTGCTAAAAGCTAAAAGCTTAACCAGCTCTAGTTCCTGGTCATCACGCCTTATATACCTTTCTGCTTCCTGCCATCACTTCCTGGGATTAAAGGCGTGTGTCACCATGCCTGGCTGTTTCCAGTGTGGCTTTGAACTTACAGAGATCTGGATGGATCTCTGCCTCCAGAATGCTAGGATTAAAGGTGTGTACGCTACCATTTTCTAGCCTCTATGTCTATCTAGTGGCTGTTCTGTTCTCTGATGCCAGATAAGTTCATTAGGGTGCACAATATATTGGGGGAAACAATATCACCACATCTTCTGGGTAAAGCAAGCTCAGATTCTCTGACCCTGAGTAATTTGGGCCTCAACACTGTAGCCTGTTTTCAGTAGGTCTCTTTGATCAATGACTCATTGGGAGGTCGCTCAAGCC